AAAAAAAAAAAAAAAAACACATATTAGTAAAACCAATACCTTCTCAGCTTCGCATCGAAGCTAAAAATATCACAAATAACAAGTATTTGAAATTTCGAGTTTTATTTGGATAAATGGGATATTTAAATAAAAATTAAATTTGAGCACCTTTGTGCTCTAAGTTCTTGTGCACTTGTACGCCACCAGTGATTGGGCACTGACCATCACTAAATAACTTCATTGCCGTAGTCGTTTTTTTATCGTCTGTTCTCATCTGCCATTTCGTGCCTGAATCTACACTCTGACTCGTGATACTTGGATTTTAGATTCCATTACCATAAAATATCATACAGTCTACTCATCACTATCAACAACTTCATCTATTCATCAGAGTTTTATATTGTTTTTAATATTATTTAAAATTTGTTTTATAACGCTTCGCCAGTAGTATTTAGGGGGCCCCCGTTACCCCTTAAGTATAAGATACTTTCTGAAGAATTTCTAATGTATGTGGTTATTTGTTATTTAATTATTGTCTACTGTTGATACTTATTGGATGTGCGGCTAGTCTTCATACTCCCAGGTGACCCCTCTCCCGCTTCAATAATAGCGATTCAAACAAGCTGAAGGGTAAGACGGCATTCTAGTGCGGTGTACAACTAGCCGTCCTACGGTCTAGCTGCCTCTTTCGAAACAAATTAAAAAAAAAAAGAGTTTTAAAAATGTCTATAGTTATTAATTTTAATAGTTGCTTTATAAAATTTCGAATTTTCGGAAAGATAAATATATGCGTTTTATACGCAAAAATGTAGATAAGCGTTTTTAGTAACATGTACCAACAACAACACGAAGTCGCGTGTATTGTATTAAATTGAACATAAAATGATTATTACTTTAAGAATAAGATGTATAGTAAATAATAATTAATATAACATATATATACATATACAGAGTGAAACGGATCTAACTGACAACTCATATAACCTATAATCTACATAACATTTTATACTTTTTTTTTTTAAATCAATTTTTACAATATAGAACTATATTTAAAATATGTTTTATGTTATTTTTCGCAATTACAAAAAATTTTTTAAAAATAATTTTTTAATTAAACATTTTTAGTCATTTTATAGATAAATTTTAAAGAAAAATTTTGATACCAAAAATTCTTATTTTAATTCAGTAGTTACGTTTATTCAGCATTTTGAAATTTGTTAAATTTTGATTTTTTATACAATTTTCCTATGGTATCAAATGTTAGTCCATATTATGTAAAGTACAGTAAGTAAACACTTATTACATTATTTACTGGTAACAGTACACGATTTTTTTTCCATGCTATAGTTTACCGTTTATAACCAGATAAGATGTTCTTTCATATAGACAGAGATGTTTACATAGTGTAAAATTATTTATTGTTATTTGTAGTCGGATGGAGAGAATACAGTATTTTAACAACTCTAGATATAACACTTAGTACAGAAACCAAATTTAACGAATAACAATTATTATCACAATAAATCTAAATCATAAATCTGTCTCATATTACGCCAAAACAAAATATATTTATATATAAACATCTCTTCTTCTTCTTCGCCTTAATTGTATTCCTCACCTCGCCCGTATTTATATATACACATAATTTAAATATGTAAATAATAATAATAATACACAACAGTAACTTACAAAACCACAGATGAGGTATGCGCACTGACCAGCTTCGACAGGTACCCAAAACATATTTGTTGTACAACAAACAATAATTAATAGTTTCTTTATATTACAATGACGCTAAATTTCTGAATTATTTATTAATAAAAAATAGGAACTTTAATTTGCATATCTGAATTTTAAAAAATACATAAAGAAACTCACACTACGAACACAAATAACACTATGACACAAAGTTCTTGAAAAAGTTAGTATTTGTAAAAAAATTGTCATTTTAAATCCCCCACTATGGGCAGGTTAAAAGTTAGATATTCAAAAAATGATATCAAATGATAGAAAACATTTTTTTTCCAATGATAATAATTACGTTTTACGAGCGTTTTACAGAAATGATTATCTCTAGTCTTAATTAAAGAAGTTAGAAACATTATCGTATGTCAACTAAGAGTATTCCAAGTTTAGCCACGTAAAACTGATAACAATTATTAATTTGCGTGATTTTATCGTTGTAATCACATTATTATAGGATATTCCTTGTTAGGAGATTTGATAATAAATTCATTTATTCACTATTATTATAATAATATATTTCTTTTTTGTGAAAATTATTAACATTTGAACAAGCATTTGTAATTGACATGAAAAAACAAGTAGTACTATAATCAATTTTTTTATGAGAAACCATATTTTTATCCCTATTCATTCGACATACTTTATTTTAATCAGGATATAAATAAGAAAAAAGCAGATCATGTAGATTTTGGAATAATCCACCAATTTTTTAAAATAAAACACTATCTAAAGATTTGCATCGAAGCGTTTTTTATGATAGTGACTTTAATCACTGTCAGATATCATTATAATTGACCCAACAATGCCACGTCACCATTGTGCCGCGACACCTCTGTGCTGGGTTTTTTTAAAAATTAGTATTACGGTTCTCAATAATTAAGATACAGAGAATCGGATTTTTATATTGAAAAAAATATTTTACAATAATTCTCTTGTAGACCTAATGTTAATAAGCAATGATTATGGAATGAAGCTGTTTAATAGATCAGTAATTAATAACAATAATCTAATTGAATAATGGAAAATTTAGATATTTTATAAGGAAAATAAATTTTTTAAAGTAATTAAATATTATTTTGCATTAGTTTTTTTTTTGTTGATTATTGTGTACACTTTCAGTAATAAAAATCATTGTGTTCAGGATTTATAATACTATAAATCATTAGAATAAGCGTTTAAAGAGTCATTATAAGCATTTGAATAAACAATTGTAAATCATAAACCAGCAAAAAAATAAATGCTCCAAATCAGAAAAATGTTTTTTAATTTTTAAATTTTTATTTTAAATATTGTTGAATATATTAAGAATATATATATATATAATTAACATAATATACATACATATATAAATATATATATTAGAGTGCTCCTCCAAAAAAACTTTGACGTTTTATTGGCGATATTTCTCAATTTTCTTTATTACTATAAAGAAAAAATGTTAGTGACATTTCATCTTGAGTGGTCAACCCCTTTCCGTCCCACAAGAAGGTTAAAAGTTGATGAAATAAGGAAATTTTTTTGTTTTTTGCTTATATTTTAAAAACAACAATTTATACAAACAAATATTAAGAACCTAATTTATATATCTAAACATTTTCTATGATAAATCTTAAATAATTTTTTTCATATATTCGTTTTAAATAACGAATATATGTTAAATACATGTAAAATTGAAAGATACAAAATATTTCATGTTATAAAAAAATTTAATTTTTTTCACTCTCCTGATAATTTACAAATGGTTGATTTAATATAATAAAATGTGTTACAAAATATATCTAAAGTAAAATTTTTTTTTAAATGGTATATTATGAAATTTTTGCGTTAATCGTAGTTTCTTTTTAATTACGAAATTCGTTTTTTGTAGGAACTATAATTAGTAAAAAAAATTATTCTAATTTCTCTCATGACTATAAATATTTGATTTAAAAATGATTAAAAGTTTATTTAAATGTTCTGTTGGGTTTATAACTTGAATTAAATAATTTTTATTATTTTTATATAAAAATTTATTAAAAATGTATGTACTTGTAATAAGAATTGCTATTATATTCATTTTTAGTATGCTTATCATTGTACTCTTCCAAGAGTTTATACCATGCTCGACACTATTATTCACTATTTGTAGTAAACAATTTGTTTCCCTGATAAATATTATGAGTGGTATTCCCATTCATTTGGTTCTATATTTAAAAAATCTGTACTTATCTTGTATCTTTTGAATAAGTTCAGGGATCGGTACAAAACAGTGAAGCTGTTTGGTTAAAAAATCAGTTACATTATAAATTTTTATGTGCATTTTTGTTTTATCCAAATTATTTTTCTTGAGTTGCATTTAGTTTTAATTCTTTGACCTTAATTGCAATATCCCTTTTATCTTCTATTGATAGGCTGTTTTAAAAACACTAAAGGTTATATTCATCACTCAAATACCAGAAATGATTGAAACATTTCGAGAAACACGAAATTTCAATTTCTTTATCGTATTTGTATATACAACGAACATATAAATTTAATATCATTCATTAGAAGTTTACTTATATTTAAATTAAGAAAAAAGTGCAAGTAATTTTTTTTTTATCCGACAGGAAACAAATCAATTAGCATTCGTGTTTAAATCATACGCGTTACCAACCTGCCAATAGATTACGCCAATTAATGAAAGATAAAAAAAGCTATTTAAGATAGTACAAAAACACAGTGTGTTTTTTACAAATAGGGGAGAAATTGGTGAAAATTTCAAAATAAGTGTAATATGATATCAAAGATAGATGCGTTTCGTCGTCCATTGTGACCTCCCTGTTAAGATGTATTTGGTACCAAATTTATTGATTTATGAACCAGTTATTCAGTGACTTCTATTTAATGTAATTATTCTTTTTTTTCGACAGTATTAGGAGGGGAGGACTAAATCATTATTTTACTACTTTAACAATAATATTTTTTTGTTGAACTACTTTACACGAATAATGATTTTTCTGCTACCACCCCTCACTACATAAACTCGTCACAAATTTCGACTTTCAAATGGCAACTCTAATTTTTCGTTTTTATCACCGACCTTTTGGTTAACACTGTATCAATAAATTTCATTAACTATTAATCCAAGATGATTTGTTTGTGTAAATATTAAATTACTTGAAATCATTTTAAATAATACCCTTGTTGATATACTAATCAGGAAAGGTAATTTAATTAGTATTATATATACTATATACTATATTATATATAATATTTTAGTTTATGTTAAGTTTTATTACTCCCTCTTTAGGACTTATTGAGGAGGGGAGTTCTCCTCTCTTCTTAGGGTAGTTTACATTGAATTTATTACTCCCTCCAGTCCTTATCTTCACAACAGAGAGGTGAATGAGTGAGTGTGGCGGGGGCGGCTTTCCCATTTTTACCTACTTATATAAATAAAAAGTTTTAGGAGGATGTTATAATTTCAGATTGCCCAAGAAATATAATAAATTGTAATTTTTTAAATGAAAACATTTAAAAAAATACAAATATTAACTAGTTTACATTAAACATTATTTTCATTAGACTAAAGCAGTCTAATGAAAATAATGATAGTGATTGTAAATTTTTTTGATAGATTTGGTTTTAAGTTGGTTTACCTAATTTTAATACGTTAGACACCTAAATTTGGTAAAATAAAATAATTTTATTTATCTAAATTTTAATGAGTTTAATTAAATTACAGAATTTGAAATTAAAACTAAAAAATATATCATAAAACACGTCAACACCACTAAATAAAAATGCTGCCAACATTAAATTCAAATTCGTCACTGTGTTTTTGATTGTATTAAATGCTATTCAAAGAACATTTTTATTGCTATAAAATGAAATTGTAATTTATTTAGAATATATATAAATTTATGCATATGAAGACTATTAAAACACTATAAAATAATTTTGAGAGTATTAATAAATATATGATTGCTGAATTGTAAAAAAATTTTATTTAAAAATGATTTGCAAAATGCACAAATTTTTAAATTTTGTAATCCTTATTTATTTAGTCAATGGCGGAATTTTATTTTCCAAGAAGGTTTGTACATACTTTTATCCTCTTTTTTTATTATTATCTGTAACATTATTAACTATTTGATCAAAATTATATTAGTTTAATTTATATTATAAGTGCGTACGGGTATTACCAGAATATTGATTTGGTCATGCCGTTTCTCTATAAAACAGTTATATTAACTGTACTCCTATATTATACACTAAAAGTATATTAATTTTAGAATGCGCCGTCAAGAATTTTTATATTAATTTGCTAACACCACCACCGATTGTGCGAGAGAAATCATCGTTGTAAGTACTGTACGTCGCTGCTTCATGTTGATACTATTTCGACTGCACATGTTCGAATACACCGATATTGAGTAAAATCTTGGTCTATCGCGTGTTTTTATTTGATTCATGTTTTGTTGCCATCATTAGCAACTTATTTCTAATTTGGATTTATGGTGCCAGGTGGACCATAGTATATATGGACTATGAATAAAAATAACCATTGTGATTTGATATATTCATAGTACAGTCACCTGTGTTTGCTTGCACCTTTGTGCATATATCTGCATGTATATTTATCTTATTCCCTCCTGTTTTAATATCATCAGAGCTATAAGCCATCGATAATTGATAAATACTGTTTAGTTATCTATATTTATTTATCTTGTTGTTAAAATATTATGCCTTGTAGCATTTAGCTATTAAAGGATCCCGTCCAACCACCATTGCTATAATATCATATATTTGTTTGTTAATTTAATACATAAATTTTGTTTTTTCAATTTACTCTAATTTTTACTATTGTGAGTATCATCCTAATTCCTATACATACTATCTTTCTTTCACAAAAACATCACACACAGAATCATAACAGATAAATATAAATTAAAAATATGTACGTGTAATATTGGAATATTAACTGATATGAGTAAAGAACTAGTAAAAGTATTAAAAAAGCGGAAATTCAATATTTGTCGTTTTAAACTTAAACTATGGCGAAGATGTAATAATGGACGAGGGTTGAAAAGAAAAGTATTAGATGTAGTCAAGTAAGGTAGTTGAATTATAGCGGTTAAATTAATTTTTAAAAAAATAGCTATAAATGTAGCAAGTGCATATTCTCCACATGTACTATGTGAAGAGAGAAGCAAGTAAGTTTTTTTGAAAAGAAATGGATGAGACGATGCAAGGATAACTAAGTAATAATGATATATTAATAGGTAGGGATATGAATAACATACCGTTAATAAAAGAAGAGGGTATGGAGAATACACGGAGGGTATGGTTTCAATGGAAAAATGAAATTGGATAAAGATTTCTAGATTTTGCAGTATTGTATGATTTTACATATATAATATCTAAAGAAGGTTTAAAGAAAAAATGGTGTGGAATATCAAGGGATTNGGTTTAAAGAAAAAATGTTGTGGAATATCAAGGGATTTATAAATAATGTGTGAAATAGGATTGCCGCTTGTGTAAAGAATACCACAAAGGTGATTATCTGTAAAAAAAATGCCTGAAAACAAAGCAATGAGGTGGTGGGATGAGAAAGTTAGTGGAATTATTATATATATACATACATACAAGGTGGCCCATAATAATCTTTCACATTTTGTTTATAAATAACTTTTGTTCAAAAAAAGGTAAGGAAACGGTAAATCCGGTTCCAGATAGCTAGACGATGCCTAATTATGTTTCATTGCGATTTTATCATAATGGAGCAATGGAGGGTGCTCAGCGTGTGTTTATCGTAAAAGCTTATTATAAGAATAATGACTTACACGTAAGTGCAATTCGAGAGTTTCGTAAAAATTTTAACCTTGATGGAAAAAGTGCGGTTCTATCGCGACCAACGGTGAATTTATGGAAAAAACTTTGAGAAAAGTGGTGATGCGTGTAAAAAAACACCGAGTGGATGATTGTCACCCAATGGTATCGTGGGTACGTGTTCGATGGAACAGTTAACGGCGAGCGCTATCGTTTGATGTTGAATGAGTTTCTGGTATCCGAATTGAAACGTAGACAAAAATTATCAGCTACCTGGTTCCAGCAAGACAGGGCGACCTGCCATTCCGCGAAAGAAACGATTGAGAACTGTTGCGAAAACATTTCCGCCATAGACTGTTTTTGCGGAACACTGAAATTTGTTGGCCGCCTAGGTAGCCTGACTTATCAGCGTGCGACTATTTTCTATGGGGATATTTAAAATTCAAAGTGTATGCGGACAAGTCCAGGACTTTGGAACAACTCAAGAACAACATTATTCGAGAATCGGGCCTTTTTGGTACAGATATGCTGGTGAAGGTGTTCAAAAACTTAAAAAAACGTCTGCTTGAATGTATAAAAAATGAGGGTAATCATCTGCAAGGAATAATTTTTAAGACCTAAATTGTAAAAGTAATTTAAATATACTGTCTAAAAACGGCATGTTTCTACTTTATTTTAGTACTTAAATTATCTCTGTACATGTATTTTCGCTGGGTTATTCAAAAAACAAATGTGAAAGGTTATTATGGGCCACCCAGTATTTAAGTTACAAAGTAATTTTATGATATAAGTTACACATAAAAACATTTTTGTGATATTATACCTTTCTATAATTTACAACCAAGTATTTAAAGAATTTTTTAAAATTAATATTAGTATATATTAGAACAATAATGGAGAGGTGGAGGAGGAAGAAGAAGAATTCAGTTGGTTTTTGAATATATATCGAAATAAATTTTATTCATAGAAATTTTAAGTTATAATACTGCTATTTCTGGAAAAGTTTGTTTAAATAAAAATTCAAATATTTTCTAAAAAAATAATTTAGACTTAGTATAAAAAATTTTAGTTTATATTTCCAAGCAAATAAAAAAAATATAGAATTTAAATACAAAAATGGCTAAAATATTACTTTAACACAAACATTTATTTTCATATTAAAATAAAAGACTTATCATTTCAATTATAAATTTTAGCAGGTATCAGAATACAGCAGTAGCGAAGAAGAAAATGAGGTGTAATTATAACTATTAACTACTAATTTGCTAAATAAATTATAGCCTACAAACAGGATGGTCCAAAAAAAATGTCCCATTATCTTACAAGTTAAAAAATATATCACCTACAAATTTAATTTATAAAGAATAAGATAAAATTCATAAAAATAGGAATAAAAAAATTCGAGAATTAAAAATATGTAAATACCCCTAATATGTTACGTTATTTTTAAGAAAATCTTCGAAGTGTTTTCCAATATTTTTAAAAGCTTTAGAACATCAATAGGTCTAAATCAATTCAAATTTGTTATTTATATACTCCATTGAATTTTAAATATTTTTTGTTTAAATACATTAATCTTTTTTCTCTAAATATTCCCTTAAGAAAAAATTTGGAGACAACATATTCTGCTAGATATATGGTAAACAATTTTTTTGATTAATAATAATCGAGGATATCTCCCAATTTTACTGTTCTGCGAGATGGCGTAGTTACAAAAATGTTTTGGAATCATGCGGTAATTTTATAATTTTTACCTTCGATGCAAAGTTGAGAAGGTATTGGTTTTACTATAATGTGTTTTTTTTGTGTCTGTTACCACTTTTTCTCAGTTCTCACTGGACCGATTTCTTTCAACGATACGTCAAAAGATCACAAATTGTATCTAGTCGAAGACATTAGCCTCAATAATTGAAAAAATTTCCCTTGTTCCCCGAATGATTATTTAACAGTTTCTCATAAAATATCTTTTAGTTAATCATTATAATATTTTATAACTTAGATTAGTGGCTGAAATGGTCAATAAAAATTCTAAACTCATATTAGACCAATTTGTTGATTGATGTACCAAAATAACCTGATTTAATTTAATTGAAGCTAATTTCTTGATATTGTGTTTAAAGAGGGGGTTTATATGAGCTGATTTTTATGTTGTAATAATAAAGATTTGAACCGGATATAGTGTAGATTTGTAACATTATCTACAGTAGGAACTTTTAAATCAATAGGGTGTAGAGTGCTATTTTTGATTTTGGGTGAAGTCGTTAAATATTAAAAATATTAAAGTAAAATTCCTATTTTTTAGGAATTGCCTGAAGATAAGAGTGATATATCATTTTTCTTAAAGGTAGTATCATATATTGTTTTATATTAATGGGAAAGTGCAAGTATAGGTTATAAAAGATGTTATAATTACATAAATAATTATTATAGAAAAAAAATTATAGGAAAATAATAATGCATAATTTTTTTCAGGACGTGCCAGAAGATGAAAGTCGTATGCTATTTTTCTCAGAGGTAATGGAATTATTTTATTTTAGAAATAAAAGGAAAAAAAAACTATTTTAAATTAATAAAAAAAAAAAACCCCCAGCACAGTGGGAACGTGCCATAGTTGGGTCCAGTATAGATATAAACTGATAGTGATTAAAAAACACTTCGATGCAAATCTGTAGGTAGTATTTAATTTTAAAAAATTGGTGGATTATTCCAAAAGTAACATGATCTCCTATTTCATTATTTATATCCTGAATACAAGTTTTATGATTTATAAGTGTAATGTATGTATAAATATTTATTATATTAATTAAAAATAGTTTGAAATTGATATTTAATAATTTAGTTTGGAAATTTTTACGAAAAATTTATAAAAAATTATAAAGTAGTTATTACTTTTATAGCAAACGTACATAATAGTTGAAGGTCTTGATGCAATACTAAAAAAAAAATTGTTTGAAATAAATTTACCGGTCTACAAGCAATTTTAATCCGAGACCAAAGTATACATTTATAAATCCATTTTTGCGCCGATATCAAATTAGAGTTTCGCATATGGCCTAAATAATAAAACAATTTTCTAATTAATATAACAAATATTTATGTTTGATTATAAGGTTACGTATGAAAAATGATAAATGTATTTTAATTAAAAATAAAATATTTATAAGAGTGTCAATATTTTCGGAACACATTCAAATATTAAGTTAAAAAAGTTCTACTTTCTATATTTCCCTGCATAAAGGGAAATGGTCCGATTTAAAAAAAAAGTATGTTGAATGAAAGTATATAAATAATACCTAGCATGAAAAAATTGTATTAATCTATACATTTTTCAAAAATTTATAGAAATAAAGAGTTAAAAATGTAAAATATCGAGAATTTTAACACAAAAATAGCATACGGTAGCTGTGAATTTTTATTGAAAAGACAAAATAAAGTCTGAATTTTTTTTTTCCATGTTAAAATATAATACATTAACTTTAATAGTGGTAAGACACAAAAAAAAAAAACCCCAGCACAGAAATATTACTAGTACAATATAAATTGTTTTTATGCATGTTATTCTAGATATTCAAAGATATATAAAATAAATATTTTTTATTTTACCTTAATTTGTTCTTAAGAAGTATATAAAAAAAAAACAGTAGCACAGTGGGTGCGCGTCACAGTATGGACGTGGCATAGTTGGGACAAGTATAGATGATATCTGACAGTGATTAAAATCACTATCATAAAATACTACGCTTTGATGCAAATCTTTAGATAGTGTTTAATTTTAAAAAAATGGTGTATTATTCTAAAAGCTAATTGATCTGCTATTTCCTTAATTATATTCTGATTAAAATAACGTACGTCGAATAAATAGTGATATAAATATGGTTTCTCATAAAAAAATTGTGTTGATCCATACACTTTTCAATAAGTTATAGCATTATAGAGTTAAAAATGTTTAATATAAAATCGAGAATTTTCACACAAAAATAGCATTCGGTAACTATTTTCACCGTGAAGACAAAATAAAGTCCGAAATTTTTTTTCCCATACTAAATTATATTACATATTAGGCTTTTATTTAAGGTATATATAAAAGTGCCAGTATAAATCAAATGATAGGTAAAGACATCATGCAACTATAAAAAAAAAATTATTGATTTGTTCAGTTTTGAAAAAGTTATGGCTGATTTAAATAAAAAAATTGAAAATTTTTTTAAAAATTAGCGATTTTTAAATTTGTAATTTTTTTGGAGATTTCCGCCATTTACGGGGAACGAGAGAAATTTATTTCAATTTTTGGGGTATTGTCTTCGACTAGATACAATATATGATTATTTGACGTATCTTTGAAAGAAATAAGTTCGGTGAGAGCAGATAAAGTGGTAACNAATATATGATTATTTGACGTATCTTTGAAAGAAATAAGTTCTGTGAGTGCAGATAAAGTGGTAATAAACACAAAAAAAAAAAATTAAAAAAAAACACATCATAGTAAATTTAATACCTTTTCAGCTTCGCATCGAAGCTAAAGAATATCTATACATTGTATTTTAAAAATATATATACAATTTTTTTTACTTAAAACTGCTATAACTTTTTCAAAAATGAACATATCAATATAATTTTTTTTATAGAAGCTTAATGTTTTTACCTATCATTTGGTATATTTTTTTTTATAAATTTAACCCTTTACCAGCCAACAGTGGAGGATTCAATATGACAACTTTTTCACAAAAAATTAACTTTTTAAAATTAATATTTGAAAGTTTTCCAGAAATACTGACACTTATATATATATATCATAAATTAAAGTTATTGTAATATACTTATTATGGAAAAAAGAAAATTTTGGACTTAATTTTGAAGAAATTGATTATATATACAGAAAAATGAAAATATTAATCATTATCACCAGTCCAAAAACCCTCTGCTCTTACATATCATCGACTTTAAACTATGGTATAATAATCAAGAAATTTTCACCATATTCTTCTTACTATATACCAAAATTAAAATTTAATAGCCACATAAAAAACAAAAAATACCTTAATGCTTAAATTACTAAGCTTATAGTCATACTAAAACCTATTGTTCCTAGATGCGTAAAGTGTGGACAAAATGACACTAAAACAATAAACATTGTCATCTCTATTACACTAATTCTGTGCTCTATTCTTTTGTCCATCCAACAATATGGATAATACCATATTATAGATCGTTTCACTGCGCTTAAAGCAGAACCATGGTGTACTCCTACTCTAACTCTAAAATCTGCTGTTACTCTACTTACAATTTTTAGTCTAGTACAAGTGTCATCATACGTATTTTCTATTATATTTGAGACTCGTTTTCTCATTAATACCCACTTTATAACCTCTCTCAATACTCTATGCTACGCTTTCTCCTAATCTATAAATACCATACACAGATATTTCTTCTTTTCCCTATACTTTTCTATTTGTTAACTCGTACAAAAAACTAGATCCATCGTTGACTTTTCAGGCAAAAACCAAACTAGTTATTTGTTACTTATGTTTCTCCTCTTATTATTTTGTCTGTTACCTTTTCTCAAATCTTCATACTATGACTCATAAGTTTTATGCCTCTATATTTTTTATACTATTGTATAACTCCTTTGTCTTTATATATCGGTATCATAATACTACATTGGTATTTTCCTTCTAATGGGATTTAATTTAAAAGATATGGATTGACAAAACAATAAAATTTAGTGCTAGAAGTTATCAAGAAACAGAAGGATTTTTGGTAATTATAATTCTAGAAATACTTTTAAAAGAAATTTTACTTATAATTAATATATTTTAAAAGTTCAATTAAATAATTCATATTTGTTTAAATACTTCTTTAGATACAAACAGATAAAGAACCAAATGATTATAGCGAAGATGATTCATCAAGGGTAAACACAGTAACATTTAAAATATATGACTTATTTAAAATTAATTTTTTTATTTGGATTTCAAAAATAATGCAGTGTTTTAGTAATATTATACAACAACTTAACTAATTTTAATTAAGTAACATTAAAGAATCATTTTTTTAAATAAATAAATGGAAAATTTTTAACACACTTCTGCTAATAAAATAAAATTGAAGTACAAAGAAAACAATAATTTCTAATATATTTTTCAGGACCAAACTGAAAATTATACATCTTCTTCAGAGGTAATGAATTAAAGAACTAATAAATAAAAATGTTTGTACTTATATTAAAAAGATACGATTATCACTCTTTGAGTAATATTTTAGATGAATTCTAGAATGAAAAACTATATTATGAGATTAAAATAAAATATGCCTTCTTAAATTATAAACGATGCCCATTTGAAATATCACTAGTACAATATAAATTGTTTTTATGCATGTTATTGTAGATATTCAAAAGATATTTTAAATAAACATTTTTTATTTTATCTTAATTTGTTCTTAAGAAGTATATAAAAAAAACAGTAGCACAGTGGGGTCGCGCCACAGTATGGACGTGGCATAGTTGGGACAAGTATAGATGATATCTGACAATAATTAAAATCACTATCATAAGAAACGTTATGATGCAAATCTGTAAATAATGTTTAATTTTAAGAAATTGGTGGATTACTCTAAAAGCTACATGATCTGCTTTTTCTTTATTTATATCCTTATTAAAATAAAGTATGTCGATTGAATAGGGATATAAATATGGTTTCTCTTTAAAATAAATTGTATTAATCCATACAATTTTCATTAAGTTATAGCATTATAAAATTAAAAATGTAAAATATAAAATCGAGAATTTTCACACAAAAATAGCATTTGATAACTATTTTCAAAAGAAACAATAACTCTTATTCCCTTAATTTTATCTCGATTAGTTATTTGATTTATAATTATAATATATGAATAAATAATAATTATAGTAATTAAATTTAGTATGAAATTGATATTTAATAATAAAAATTGTTCTAAATTACTGATTTTGATTTTTATATGTTGAAAATAAGGAAAATGACACATTTAACCTTTTTTTAACCCTTTCAAGTTGATTTTTGTGAAAGTTTATAATAAAAAATATTAATTTATTACCATAACTTTTAGTTCAACCTGCAAATTTGAAATTGACATCAATAAATAGAAAATATTATAAGAATTAAAAAAATTGTATCGTTAAGATTAATATGCAGTTAGGAAGTTTTATAATTACTATTTATAGTAAATTTATCAGAAAAGTTCATTATTTTTTTGGATTTTTATTGTAATAGATCACTTACTTAGTAATCATTTTTAAGTAATTTTTGGTATTTAAAAATATTCTACAATTGAAATATTCAGAATATAATTAATTATAATGATTTACTTTAACTTAAAAAAACCCATCACAAAAAAGGTGTTAAGAAGATCTACTCAATAGAGCGTATTATAAAATTTGATTATAATTTTGTAGTTGAAACCTATCATATCAAACTTGATTCGTCAGTAAATACTTTGAAAACATTAGAAATGAATGATTTTAATTATCTATATGGAGAATATGTTGTTTAATTTTCTGTTTGTTAACTGATCAAATTTATATAGTAGATCTTTTTAACACCTTTTCGTGATTGGATTTTTTAGTTAAAGTAAATCATTATGTTAATTTCAAACTTGCTAATCAAGCTAAAAGTTATGGAAGTAAATTAATTTTTTTTTTTATAATAAACTTTCAAAAAAATCAACTTTAATAAATTAAAATATTTATAAATTAAAATAGTTATGTCATTTTCCTTATTTTTAACATATTAAAAATCAAAATCATAATAAATTTAGAATAATTTTTTTTTGGTCTTAATTATTATTTTATAATTAATTACTTATTTTTTAATAACAAATAATAATATTAAAACTTATAAGTGATAGAAAAAATCAAATTTCACATATGAAAACGGCGCGAAAAGTTGATTTAGAAAAAATATTTTTGTTTCTGATGAAAGTTCTATGTATTCATTGAATAAAACTTAAAACATTATTATTAGTAACAAAAATTTTTTATTGGAAAGTATTGTATCAAGCCCTTTAAATTTTATACGCGTTAAAAGTAAAGAAATATACAACTACTTTATTATTTGTATAATATCTTCGTAAAAATTACAATATTAAATTATTAAATATCAATATCATACTAAATTTCATTATTATAATTATTATTCATTCATATATTATAATTATAAATCAAATAACTAAATCGGAATAAAATAAGGGAATAAGAGTTATTATTTCTTTTGAAATAATCTACCAATTTCTTAAAATTAAATACTCTCTATAGATTTGCATCGAGCGTTTCTTATGACAGTGATTTTAATCACTGTCAGATATCATCTTTACTTGTCCCAATTATACTTCGTCTATATTGTACCGCTACTCCACTATTCTACAGTTTTTTTTTATGTTAATAATACTTTTTTTTTGCTACTTTAGAGTTCTACAACATCAGATGACGTGATTGAAAATTACCAAAAAACTTTTAATTTATTTGATAAAGACCATGATGGCTTTTTAACCAAAACTGACATTTACCATATTTTTAAAAATTATGATTGTAATTGGACGAATTATAATGAAATTGATGAATTATTAAATGAATTCGGATCTAGTGGTATGTAGTATAAATTAATTTTATTACATTAAAAAAAATTTTAAAAAATGAATAGAAATTATTTTTAAGTAAACATATTTTATGTATTGATATTTTTATACACCAACCAAATGTTTACTATTAGCTAGTGTAGACAGGGAATTTTTAAATACAATTATTGCTCACTAGACTTCTATGCCAGGAGACATAACTTAGAACCTTTGAAGTTGACTTGTATCCAGCCCCCCGACTAATAATAATGGCACGCAAAGCATAACACCAAAAATTGACAGTCATTGAAATGTATACTGTGCCATATTAAACCACTAATGAATTGGTAATACACAAAAAATGTATTTTACAATTAATTCATAGTTTTTAAGATCTTAATTGAAAATTGATGATGTAAACAAACTTTTTATAAGTAACAAAATATATAACTTATCTTATAAAAAAAATAACTATAGGGAGAATAAATTAAGTATAAGACACTTATTTTCTTGATAACTATTGAAAAATTTGTTTGTTTAATAAAACTATTGTAAAATAATATTAAATATTTTAGCATCGATAGGAATATGTCATAATTTTTTTCAACTTTCACCACCCCGCATTTTCTCAACGATACGTTAAAAGATCACAAATCGTATCTAGTTGAAGACATTACCCTCAAAAATTAAAAAAATTTCCCTCGTTCCCCGTAAATGGTGAAAATCCCGCAAAAATTAAGGATAAGATACTCGTTTACTCAGTAACTATTGAAAATTTTTAATTTTCGGTAAGAAAAATATTGTTTGATTCAAAAAACAATACAATAGTATGAAGTAAAAACATGACATTTTACATGTATATTAACACAAAAATTTGAAACTTTAAATGTTTATATCTAATAAACGAATAAAGTTATGTTAAAAATTCAAATGCCATTTGATATTAAATTAAAAACTCAAACATTTTATTAAATTCAAAATATGTGTTTTCATTTAAAAATACTCAAGTTAATGTTTTTTAACCTTGAAGGGATAAAAAATATCATGTTTTTAGTACAAATTATTGTAGTGTTTTTTGAATCAAATAACATCTTCCTTAACAAACATTTTTAATTTTCTATAGTTACTGAGTAAACGAGTGTCTTATCCTTAATGAATCACCCGTATATATACGGTATAGATATATTTCAATAATTGAAAAAAAAATATAGTTTTGCACACGGTCATAAGCACAGAAATATTGACATAAACATCAATTGTTAGATAATTACTGTATAAATTGTTTCACAATCAAAGTTAAAGGAGAAAGAAAACTAAATCGCACGCAGCAAAACCAGTTAAGGTGTACGTCGGAAACGGAACAGAACGCATATCAGTAATCCATATTCGATGGCGGCCTTGTCATGGTGTCAAGGGCGGGGAGATACCCGATGATAACCGATTATCATATCAATAGATGGACGGCTGATATCGAGAGAGACAAGGGTGAGCGCCAGCCTAGAGCGTACGGCGGTGCTGTGTCAAACTTTATATGTAATCAAAAAAATATTATTTTGATGTAAAAAGTCACTGTTTTTTGTATTGTCATAATTTCTTTTTTTTTTCATCAATTTTAATTTCGATGCAAGGCTAAGATGATATTAATTTTTTATTCCTGTATTTTAGTTCTAACGGTATAGTCATATAAAAGGGAGCGTTATGAACCTCCTATTTATGATTCATAAGGAGGATAAATAAAATTACTGTTAGATATCATCTATACTTTTCCCAACTATGCCACGTCCATATTGTGGCATGATCCCACTGTGCTGCCGTTTTTTTTAATTTAATTTGATAATAGGAATAATAATTTCAAAACATTTTGTTCTAATCATTTTTCTATTCGATGAACGGTTTTTCTATATTGCTTGTTTAGTTTAGCTATTTTTGACCAATTTTATATAGATAATTTACTATTGCTATAAAGTAGATGTTTTTTTTTAATAACCAACATGTTTTTGGTATGAGAGACGTAGTAGCAAAATTTGTTCCAAAATTGTTGTACAGGAGTCACTTAATGAAATCAACGAATTACTGAAACGTGTTATAATAGATGACGAAAAATGAGTTTAGATATGGCGTCGAAATTAATGCTTAATTATTTCAGTGGATGCATTCTGGATCGCCAAGATCGAAGAAGTGCGATCGAACGTGAAGGTTATGCTTACTGTGTTCTTTGATTTTAATGTCGATACCCCAGTCTCCATATTCGCCAGATATGGCTCTGTGTGACTTTTTTCTATTTCCAAAAATTAAGCGAAGCTTAGAAGACCGTAATTTTACAAGCATTGATGACATTAAAAGCGCATCGCTGAATGCTATTCCAAAGATCGAGTTTGAGAAGTGTTTCGAGGATTGGAAGAAGCGTTGACACAAGTGCATAATACCTAATTATTGATAACTTATTATGATTTTTAGAATTTTTTTTAAACGACAACATTAAGGTAGAAAATAAATAAATATTTATTTAAAAAAAACGAAAAGTCTCGTTATATTTTAAACATACCTCTTATATACACTTCCCAATATGTAGTATTTATATCCATTAGTATTAATATAAAATCGTTTTCTCATTTGCTTTTGAATAAATGTATGAATTTTTTAAAACATCAAAATAATTTGAATATAGTAACATTTATGTCAAACCTTAACGAATAAGTTATGATGGACATATTTTATAGTTTTTAATAATATTATTATTACTGATTTTCATTATTTAGTTTATAAAATCTAAGGAATTTGTCAAATTAATTCAAAATTATGATTCAAACACTAATAACAGCGTTTTCAATAAGAAATTAAATTGACTAAATTTGATTCAATAAAAGTCAATGGCTTAATATTTTTTTTGTTAGAATTTTAGATGGTATTTATATAAAATATTTTACGAAAATATATTAAATTTAATGTTAATAAACATTTTGCAAAGATCAATTCTTTCTTTTCAGAAAAAAATGCAATGCAATTAGATTTTTTAGATTTCGTAAACATGATGGAGACACATTATCACAAGCTTGCTCATCATTTATTTCATAATTCTGATGTTGACAAAGATGGTTATCTTAGCACTAAAGAATTTTTTAATTTTGTATCATACATCACAGATTATAAAGATTTGACCATCGATGAAATAGAACCATTAATTAAAAAATATCGAAAAGCAGACATTAAAGGCTTAAATTTAGATGGTAAGTCTTTTAATTTTATATATATAAAAATGACAAAATATAATAATAAGTTGAAATAAAACGCCCATACAAAAACATTTTTACTTTTAGTCGTGAGATATGCATATATAATTGAAACATCAATGAAAAATAAATTTCAATTGTTACTAAAAATGGCATCAAACATCAATATTGAACAAACTTTTTTTTATTAAAGATAATATCATTAAAATTTGACTATCAAAATGAGATAATTTTTCGATCTAACTATAAATTTTCATATAACATTATTATATCAACTTTAAATTTATTCATTTCAAATTAATGTGATAAATTAAAAATAAATCTTATCTTACTTAATGGTTAAATTATTTAATAATAGCTACTTCAAAGAAAATGTTCAACATTTTATGAAAATGAAAAGTTTTTTAATTGTAAAGAAATGTGAATTTTAAAAGATTACTATTTGCTAATTAATATGATATGAAAATATTTACATAGAAATTATTTTTGTTTCAGAGTTTATACATTTTATTTGTCGTTCTAGATATAAAAATATTCGAGAAATGAAGATTCGCTCTAATAACAAGTTTCCAACAAACAAGCATTGATGTGTCTTTATAATAAAACAACTTTTGATTTGTTTTATTTCGTGTCATATTTTATTATTTAATGTATTTCTTATAATAAAACTAATTGTTAACATAAATTGTTAGTTTCACATATATATATATATATATATATGTATATATATGTTAGTTTTATATTTATAACTTAAATAATTAATTCAAATTCACTTGTTTGTCAATACAAGTATTGGCGTTAATAATAAAGTTTAAATACTTTTATGTTTTTCATTGTAGTTGTACATGTATTACTATAAATTAGCGGCAAAGATTGAGATTATTTATGGGAGAGCTTTTGAACGCATAAACCCTACTCATATTATTTAATAATACCTCAGTCCCACCCCTTACCTATGCTATACATGTTAGAACAGAGAATTTCCTGTAATTAAAAATAATAATTGCTTCAGAAAACTCCTAATATCATTTGTAATTATACTGAAACTGTAAAATTTGATTAATCAAATAAATTAGTTTGTTAAAAAATTAAAAATATAATACAGATTAACGATTAATATAATACAGTAGAACATATAGCTATTATGTGTTACTATTTCATAGAATTTCATATTTATATCAAACTCCAATAAACTAATTAAACTCTAAATTTTAAAATAAAAATATGCATATTGACTAAAAAAAACTCAATAAAAAATCAATGAAATGTAACGAAAATTTTAGGATACCTCTGTATTGTCTCTAGTCAAGCGTGATAAAAATTCTAGGTTTTAAATAAAAAACACTGGCGATAATGAGCGTTTATGCCAAAATGTTTACACACTTATGAAGTGCAAAATATTTATTATCTTGGCGAATGATTTTCTCAAAATAATGACGCCGAGATCTTTCATTTCAAAAAAATGTCGAATATCAGACATCGTTACATAACTTTTCCATTATTGGATAATTTTTCTACATTTTATTATGTAATAAGATAATGAATTATACACTAATAAATTTAACATTTTATGAGAATATTTAGAAAAATAATTTTTTTTAATTAATGTTACACAATATAACTATCTATATTTGTACATTATGTAAAAAATATTATTATAATTAAATACAGTAGTATGGTTTTATCCCCACGAAATTAGGTCAGTTTTTTAGTAGAGGGCAAAGCGTCATACGAGTCTATTTATCATCAACCTGTAATGAAGACCCTGCCGGAACTAAACTTATCCGTACGTTACTGATTAAACTTAAATCTTTTACTGGTATTTCAAAGAATATCTAATTTATTTAATAACATATTCACGAAATCGGGCGATTGAAGAGTTTCTAAACATTCATCATAGTATTTAGTTTGACAATACTCAACATTGTAAGGCTTTACTGGGTTATAAGCAAGTAAAAAACAGGTGATGAAAAAATATGTATGTGGTAATTGACGGCAACCAATGCCAGAATCATTACTTGTGTGGCTTCGGCTTTGTTCGTGTATACTCGGCAAGCCGAAGATTTATATGAAGAGCTCGACGTAGTTTTGTTTACAGTGTGTGCACGCTGACGCAGTGGTTAGTTAGTTTTTGGTGTACGGGTTCGTGTTATCGTCGTTTGACGGCGCTGACAGACGCGTTATCAATTAATGTTTATTATGTTAAAAAAAAATTTCTTAGTTAAGAATAACTTTTAACGAAAGCTATTTTATTATAGTGTGTTCTGTTTTGAAGTAATATAGTTCAGTCGTGGAATTTTTTGGTTATAGCTATTAATCTCGAAAAACATTGAGTAGATAGTGCGCAGAACAGAACGTATTCGGAAATTTCAATGCTGGACAACTAAAAACGTACTGGTAAGTTAATATCATTTATGGTTTAAAATTTAATAGAAGCGTTGATAGAATTAGATAATAGTAATGCTATATAGATACTGTAGTTTTTGGAAAAAAATTGTTTTCAAATATTTTATTCCTACAACCTCTAGAGTATTGATAAGTAACCCTGATATTTTGCGAACATTAAATTAAATCTTGTTGTTTGTAGTGATAAATTATCGTTTGTTAACCGCTGTTTTTTTAGTAAAGAAATTTGAATTATTATATTATATATATTTCACAATATTTATTTAAAAATAATATTTTTAATTTTTTCATAACATTTGTATTTCTATTATTTATGAAAGCTAAAAATAGTTGTCTTAATCAAGTTTAAGTTTTTGCATATCAACTATGTTTATTTTTCTTTAAGATAATATCAAGGGTTGCTATGAATAAATTATTATTAAATAATTAAATATTGTTTTAAGTTATTTCTTTGCTTGTAAATTAGTATTAAGTATTCATATAAAAATTTACAAAATTTGGTTTTAACCTTTTTAAAATAGTTCTTGGTTGTGTGTAACATTTCTTTGAACCAAGTCAAATAAATTATCAACTATTCTCAATATTGGTAAAGTATTCATAAATTACTAAATTTGGCGAGAAATGTCATAAAAATATAGTTCCATCTAGAAATTAAGTGTGTATTATGATAATTAAACTACTGTATAGTAATCTTCATTTAATCTCTAATAACAATTTTATATATTTAATGGTATTTACGTCGTCTTTCAAAGAAAGGAAAGTTCTTGACGTTATTGTCAATCATAATTCATTATAATTATATTGTCTTTCAATAGTCCGTAATATGTTCATCCTAATGCGCTTATTATTATTGTTCATGTTTAAGGTGAGAGCTGGATTCATAAATTTTGAGAACAATTATAATTGATATTTTTAGTTCAACAAAAAAACTGGAGAAAGCGTTATCGACATAACATTATCATGTTTAAATCCTTATACTTTTTGTTGTTTTCGAGAAAATTAATTTTTTATGTAATGTGCGAATACGTGATTTTGTTATAAGCCTAACCGGTGCCATTTAAATATCACTGTAAACGTAATAAATTATAATAAAAAAAGGTTTATAAAAAAAAATTCTTTATAAGAAATTAAGAAAAATGACCATTATAAACTCATTAAAATTATGATGATGCAATAATATCCTAAGAAATTTTCCTTATTAGTATCAAACTTTTTTATTCGTTATGATTTACGTAAAATATTTTTTTATAATGACTTTATTAAACACATTTATAACACATTTCTATTGTGTTTAATGTTCTATAAATTCGCTGTATTCAATTTTATGAAATGCCAATTATATTTGATTATTATGTACAAATTAGTGTTGCTATTTTACTAAATGATAGTAAAATTAATTATGTGTTAACTAATTTACGATGTACCGCAGTATTCTTTGTTCCTGTTTGTGGTCTTTTAATCAAAAAATATTATTTTATAATTAAATGTATTGATTCAGGTAAAAATGTATTGTGTATTTAGAAAAGAAAGCAGCTTGTAATGAAAAAATAAATGGATTTTTTTATTGTTTCTATGGATGAATAGAGATGATTTGTTAAGTTATTTTTATAGGTATATTTACTTAAATAGTATAATTATTGTATTCAAAGATTCTTAAAAATATTTTATTCAATTTTACCAAGTTCTACAAATAAATGCGAGAACTTTTTTTTTTAAATATTATAACCTTATCAAAATATATTCGTTCATTTCAAAAATTCGACTTTCTGTTATTTCATACATATACTGATAAAATTGGTTGATATATTTTTATTTTTTTAATTTTCACACAAATATTGTTCAGCGCCTATTGTATTTTTAACGAAAATTCGTTCTATATAATTATTTTGCCCACGGAAGTTGTTTACTTTTTTCTGAATAAGAAAATAAAATATATTACATTGGGTTTTACTTGTACTACAAAAAATGTGTATTTGGGTCAAACTTATAAAATAACTTACAGTTTATAGTTTGGCTTAATAATTTTTCATTGATTTCTACCTGTCTATAGGCGTTTTTAATAGTTCTGTAAAATACATTCACGTATGTCTTATTGAACTAGTTATTCTTATATTTAATCAACATACAATAATGTCGCTAAGTATTTCTTCATATAAAATACCAGTCAATGTCATTAGGCGTATTGGTTAGTTATTTCAAAAAAAAAAAAAAATACAAAAATGCTTTTATTTATAAATAGTCATAATAAAATGTATTAAGTTTAGGGAGTGTATTTTTGTGTATCCAAGAAACAACAATTTTGGTAGCTCTAGCATTCAAACAAATTTGTGATTTATCAATATTTTAGAATATATTTTTAATTTAAGAAATAAATTTCTTTATCCCATCGCCATAAGTTTGATATATTATTAATATTTAATTTTAATCATTATAAATCTCTTTAATTGCCATTTTGAAGTTGATTGTACTGAGAATAATATGTTATAAGTGTATACAACTTCAATATGCATATATAGAATTCACACTTTATGTGTATTTTTGATGTTTAATGTTTTTGACGCCATTGATTTTCTTGTTAATACGTTTATAGTGATTTGTCGGTACTCTAAGGGTTGTAGATGTAAGTATAGGTTGCATTCTTAAATATGTCAGCAGGTGTTCGAACGACTATCCCTCAGAGTGAAGTCAATCCTTGTTGCCTCTTAACTTCTCTTTTCCGAGGAATTTTTACCGATAAATTAGATGCAGTGTATCGTTTTTGAATTAAATACACTTCGATTATTAGAATTATGTTAATGTTTGTGGGTGATACCTATTGTTTGAGTCTGTATAGAAATGTGATAAACTTATATTTGATAAACAGTATTAATACAGTTATTTTTATCCGGATAGTATTTATACTGGTAGATTATTTAGTATAATAATTTTATAACTCTAAAATGTATTAAAAGTGAATTTTAATTTTTAATATAATTAGGCGTACTTCAACACTTATAATTGGTGCCGTAGTTGTTTAATTTAATGATTTTGAGGTTCTGATACTCAATGGTGCACTGAATGTGTGTTCAGATCAATTTTAAAAATGTAGATTAAACAATTTTAGATGTGCGTTATTATTTTTGTATAAATTAATCATTTTTGATTACTTTAAAGTTACTTAATTATATCATTACTCGTTTAATTAATTATTGAAGTATAACAGCCTAAGTTTTGTGCTGTTCAATAAATAAAAATTAATGTCTATAAATGGAGTGATCATAATTTTTGTTTGTCAGTTAAATAGTATAAAAACTCAATATGTTTGATAATTTTTAGATATATTTTAATTTTAAATAATTCTATGATTACCTACCAACTACCAATTGCCTAGTGAGTAATTAATTATATTGCCATGTAGGTCAAATTAATATAACTTTAATAACTAATACTCACTAATTATTTAATTAGTTGCAATTTTTTGTTTACGTCGAGTTCTTTGAACTATTAATGGCTATTATTTTGATCATATAACCAATTTAGGTGTGAGGTATTTTTGTAGTCTCACGCAAGTCGAGTTCAGCTTAATTATTTTTCATTTTATCTGCCATTTGTTTCCTTTTTTAGCTTCGATGCGAAATTGAGAAGATATTTTTATGTATTTAATTTTAATAAGTGGTCAACGAATTTCCGTTATGGTAATGGTGATCATCTGATAGTAGTGATGATTTTTTTTATTGTTCTGATTACATCATAATAAATCATATATGTTTGAAGTCAACTTCAGTGTTTTGAAGATGATACCTGTAGCAAAAGTGATGAAATAAAAATGTACACTGGTTTAAATCATTAATAACGTTGTAGAAATTATTACGATCTTGTTTCGTAAGATTGTGAGTATCTTGGAAATGAAGCAAAGAAGAAACAAAGAACGTAAAAAATTTAGATCCTTCCACATAAGTAGTCAGATCAAGGAGGATGGGATTTGTGTACAACGGCGGTGCGTTTACGATGGTAATCTCAATGTGTTGCGTGCGCCTAAGGGAGGAGAGAGGTGGTTTAAAAATAAGAACAAAAAAATCCAGTTTTAATATTACCGACGTCCCTAGATAGAAATTGTACAGGACAATATATAATGTGCGTCTCAACTGCGTAGAAATGTGCGCCAACATCTGGTAAGCTACATTTCCCCTTAGTCGTTGTTATGTCACAGTTAGTGATTAAATCGGGTAATAACAATCGTGACACGTTGTAGGTGGAGAGGAAACCTAATTTACCCCTAGTTTATAGAACACTGGCAAAGCAAAACTATTCCGGTCTTACAAGTAGAAAATAATATTAAACACTGACTATGCGTTCAGTGTGCAGTACAAATCATTCACACAATCAAGACATGGTTGAAGTAATGATAAAAACAATAATTATTTTTATTCAAACACGATTTTGCAACGTCGGTATATGTTTCGTTCTATTTAAATCGCTTTGGGCGTCGTCAGCAGTAGCAGTTATGTCTATAATTTATATGGTAGCGCGATTTTTACACGAACCGAGATTTTTAAACTTATACAACACTGAGCTGGACAATTCGGTCTCTTTACAGCAGTTTTTTTCTTCACCATGTCTTGCGTATAATGATTGATTAATGGAGAACCGGTAGCAAACGATAGTGGGTGCTGTACCGTGTTTTCGCATGCAATGTGCGTATTGTATTTGTATAATTACAGCGCCAACGTTCATAATACTTTGTTTACATTTTTTAAAGTAACAGAAGCGTAACGAAAAAGACGTATGATGTTAACGACTTTTCCGGTATGTATTTACTATACAGTTGCATACAATCCGTCTACGAGTTCTAAAATAATGCCAAGAACACAGTCGAGCGTTTGGTCCAAACGGTTGTTTTTTATTGCTTTCGGTCGTCGATTGCCTCCGTCTAGATAATTATAAAATGACCATCTATCCCTATATAATGTTTGTGTGCTGGCTTCTTACGATGTGATTCTATTTTCGACCGT